TGTGTGTGTGTGTGTGTGTGTGTGTGTGTGTGTGTGTGTGTGTGTGTGTGAGGGTCCGCCTACCTGGCAGTAATGTGGAATTGGTAATGGCTCTGAGGAGTCCAAGAGACAATGCTGGGTTTGAATCCTGGCTCCACCATTTCCACACTTTCTTCATCCTATAATGACTGTTAATGTCCCTGCTCCTCCAGGTACATTTTAGGGGAGTGAAACCATCATTGTACACAGGCAAGTTGCTGTTGTAAAGGATTACTCAGGTCTGCCCCACCCCTCCAAAGAGCGAAAGTCACTGCTCACCTGCCTTCTTCCTCGTTTAGGATGCTCTGCTGTGCATGGCGCAGGAAGTGGTGTGCCAAGCCGCCGGCCCACAGCCCGCAGAACAGCATGTGTATCACAGACACACTCCTCCAGACGAAATTACCTACACGTACACATCCCGCAGCTGTTAACCAGGCTGAATCCAGAAGCAGGCTCTCTCTTACTTGCTTTATGAGAATTCACTAATTTTTCTTGGGAGCGCCACCCTCCCCACACCACTTGCCCATCACCAGCATCTGGTCTCAGCACTCTGTGTTGCTTAGCTTAGTGGAATGATGCATGGAAGCTTACGCATGGAGGCATAAAGCATGCTCTTGCTTGTAAGGAGCGTGCCCCTACTGGGGTACACATAAAAGCATGCTGTATGTTGCTCTAAGTGCCATGCATCGGGAGATTGGAAGGAGCAACATATACTAGTGAAAAAAGTAGAGGTGTGTTACAGACATGATAAGCACTTTCCATACACAAGTGGCAGTTTGTAGACACAGATTTTGAATAAATTCCAAATAAGAAAGTAGTTAACAGAAGTGGTGTTGGTCTAAGAATGTGCAAAGTAAAGGAGTTGATCTGGATTAGGAAAAAAAAAAAAAACACACCTAAGAGGCAATGATTGTCCCGAGTCTGAGAAGATAAGATCACCACTGCAAATGATGCCTGGACACCAGCTGGAGGCTTAGGAAGTCACTGCAGCGACCAAACCCATCTACCCTATGAGCTAAATCTCATACACAACAATCAGTCCAAGAGGTCTCAAGTCAAAGTTGAGAATGGCTAGTATGCCAAGACCTTGGGAAGTCTCCCTAGGATGGTCTAGCTAAAGAGGAGCTCCTCGTTATGAGAAAGGAGAGGAAATGCCTGGAATCCTGGTTTTCTCTTGGGAGTGGGCCAGGTAGATTCTCACCATTCTAAGAACTCTGATTTGCTGAGCCTCCGTGGAGAATCCACTGTTCATACCTGTGACAAGAGGATTAAACCCAACAAGCAGGGTAAGCAACGCAGGGATCATATACACCACCTGTCAGCAAAAAAGAAATGGGAGGGTTAGGAAGTGTGCCCAAACTGGGGGTGTAGCCCAGTCATAGAGTGTCCTCATCCCCCCACTGAAAGGGGGAGTGTGCTCAACATGTAGCATGTTCGGAAGATCTAGCAAATAAATGTGTGATCATGGTCCCAAGCTGTGCGATTTTCCTGCTTTAGTTGTCACCGAGAACGTTATAACTTCTGCTATTATGACCTCATCACCACATCAGGCTGTGTGTTTTTTGTTTTTTTTTTTTTTTTTTTTTTTTTTTTTTTTACTTCCCTTGGTCAGCTCTTCAGCTCTTCCAAGAAACACTTTTCATCCCCAAGATGTAGGTCTGAGCAGAGTGTTTAGTCGCTGTTGGCCTCCCAGTCTCTCCCAAGCAACTTCCACACCCAGAATGACCTTCCCCACCTGCATAAAAGAGCATTCTCTGCAAACAAACAGAGTGGGAACGGTCGCAAATGACCGGGTGGCCTTGCTGGGCTGGACCTCTCAGAGTACGTGATTCGGTATTCCACCTCTGCAAGTGAAGTCACAGGAAAGCATCCAAACTATGTGTGGGTCTGATGTGCCCAGTATTGAGACCAGAGTCTTCTTTTTGGAAAGGGAGTTAGAAGATTGGCCCTAAAGAAGCCCCATTTCCAGGCCTCATCATAACAGATTCTGGTTGCATGCATGAGTGTGTGTGTGTTTCATAAAACTTGGAGACTTTTTCGAGTGAGGTGGCTGCTTGCACTGTTTAGAGCAGAAACCTTCAGTTCTGAAGAGCAGTCTTTTGGGAAGTTATCAGAGCCGTCTGTCTTAAGTGACCCGTTTTCACCTTGAGCCCAGCAAGCGTTTGGATCACAGAGTTGGCATTTGGATCCGTCTTTCCTGCTCCATCCCGGCTCATGACTGGAATATCGGCCAGTGGGTAGCTGCAAGTCAAGTTGTCCGTGGCAGATGGGCAGTCACGCTCTTTTCGGGTAGACCTCCACTAGCCAGTCTTTAGCATGAAGAAATCACCTGGGGGTTTGTTTAAATGCAGGTGCGGACTGGGGAGGTCTACAGGAGGTCTCAGCATTCTGCCTTTCTGACAAGTCCCTGGAGGGGCCACTACTGCTCTTCTGAGGACATCTGGGTCAGTCCGCATGGAAAACTATGACTCAGCCCCCAGGAGTGAGACAGACGGGGACAGAGAGAACTAGAGACAGAAGACAACAGGCAAGCACACACCATACAATTGTGCTCTATGAGAAATGTTTGGCATAGATTTTTTAAATGTGCATACAAATGCATGGATTTCTGTCTTAACAGATTGCACAGCCTTATTACAGTGTCTTATACACATATGAACAAATTTATCCTTTAAACTAAGTAAGTCTCTTACGGCAATTGTGATGTGGTAATCCTTATTAAAATGCTTTCCCCTATCTATAATGGAAGAAGATGAAAAACACTGAGGGCAGAGAGACTGAAAAGAACTGCTTCTAATGTACAAGCTAAAACAATGCTCAGCAAAGATATAAACCCAGTACAATCCATTTGTAATGTTTTTTTTTTTCTGTAGCTGTTGGGATTTAATAAATGTAATTAGTTTATTGTTAAACAAGTAAATAAATGGTGTTTGTGTGTATCTGTGTGTGCAATGTATGTGTTGTGGTCAGAGGACAACTTTGTGGGGTTAGTCCTCTCCTTCTACTTTTATGTGGGTCACCAGGACCAAAATCAGCTTGTCAGGCTTTGGGGCGAGTGCCTCTACTCACTGAGCCATCTTGCCAGTCCTTTGTTGATTTTTTACGATGGAAAAACTGTAGGTATCATAGAGCTCACTTAACAGAACTTAATTCCATGGCGTCGTAGAGTACCCTGGACTCATTTCTAATTCTTGTCTACTGCAAAACTATGTTTTCAACGTCTTTGGCAGCTAGAAATGGCTCATGTCCTGAAATAATGTTAGGTGATGTCTTCCAGGGTCCCAGTTAATTACATACAAAGCACGGTTGCTTAGGCATCAGATTGGGACCTCAACAACATGGCATGCTGATTTGTGAAAACTGAAGAGCTCCTGTCCAAGGGGCTCCTTGGAAACCATTTTCTCTGTAACTTAAGGAATGAAAGCACAGGAGGAAAACCGTCTTACCCCGGCTCTGATTCTTATTGCATTAGATTTACTTCTCTGGGGACTGGGGGTCTGGAGCTGCAGCAACTGTTCTGGAAACATGAGGGCGGCTCAGAAGAGAAAGCCCAAGTTGTTTGTGTCACTGATGGCCATCAAGCAACCACCTGAGTTTCTTAAGTGACATGTTCTGTATTTTTATAAACTATTGTTGCAATCCATATTCCATTATTTGCCTCTGCGAGCATCCTATGCAGATAGCCTCCATGAACCAGGGGAAGCAGGAACCACGGAAATGAGCTGGGTGAAATCCTAGTCCTCAGAGCCCGGAGAGTATTGTACTAGTATTCACCCGTACATCCGTTCATTCTACACTTTCCATGGCAGGAATTCTATGAGGAAGCTTTTGGTAAGGCTCCCAAGAAAAGAAAAGAACGTGTCTTTGTCCTCCTGGCAGCGGGCTGCACAGAACACAAGCCAAAGGAGTTGTTACTACAATAAGAATTCAAAGGAAAGATGGTCAGATCCTCTGGGGCAGAGGCAGAGTAACTGCTTTTTGGGTGAGACAGCTTCTGAGACAGTCCTGGAAGCCTGGGCAGACAGTGACAGCACTAGGAGCACGGTCAAATAGCCATGGTTTCTGAACTAGACTTCAAAGGCCATGCTGGAGATGTGGGCGGGGCTGTGCTACAATGCGCCTAAAGACCAAATAGAGGCTCTCCAACTTAGTTTGAGGAATAACAAATGTTTAGAAGCGGACAGTGACATGCAGATGACCTAGGAACAGGCAACGGGAGGCAGGCACAAGAGTTAGAAGGCTGTTTGTCAGAGGAAGTGAGGAAGGGCTGAGTGGAAATGAGGGAGGACGCCAGTCAGAAGGTGTGGCCTGTTTGCCATTATCCATACACAGGTGAGGTGGAACGCTCAGGCGCCGGGCACATAACTATACCTAGAGAGGGTTTGGTTGAATTCCTTTTTACTTTTACCTCGGATGGCATCTCAAGGCAGTGATGTTAAAGATGATGCACTTTGTGTAAAGCTGCCTGAGTAGGTTCTGCTGAGAACAGAAATGGCTGGGTCAGCAGGAGGACCGGGCTGGGGAAGGAAAGGGGTTTTGAGGGGCACAGGTGGCTATTTGCTGCAGTCTTTTGGAAAGACTTCCGTGTCTCCAAAAAGCTCAGAATCTACCCCACTCCAAGCAAGTTATATTATCACAGCGATTTTCCCCTTCAAGGAGAAAAATTTGAAAAATAAGCCCACAAGTGTTGATTTTTCAGGTTTTAGGCAAATGCCGCTGGGATCAGAGGCACAGCTGTGTCAAATGGAGGAACATAGTAGCTCATACTCACCACCCAGAACTCTGCATCTGGATCATTCACCTAGAATGTCAAAACATCAAGATGTTAGCTGACATGAGACCGGAAGCGCCTATGTCTGGTCTGACCTCATATTTACTATTCATTGCGAAGAGCCAGGCGCTGCAGTGAACTCAGGGTACTGAACACATGCCAACTACTTTAGGGGTCTGCACAGGCACAGAAACCCATTCGGTCTCACGGGAACTGAAGATTCGGAAAGATGCCCGAGTGGCAGTTCTGGGTCCCTTTCTGAGAGATCAGCGGCCAAGTCAGGCTATCAGTGTGTTGCTTAATCACACGAACTTATCCGTGTTCTGGTAGAGAGGGTCCAGCAGTTTCGGGAAACGGAAACCCCTGTTCTGCTCCACCCTGCGATCTGGCTGCCCGGGCGTCTCCGCTGTGCCGCTGCCCGCCCTCCTCAGCCCGTCTGACCTGCACCACGGCGGCCAGGGCGAAAAAGGCTGACATGAACAAGTTGCAGGCCCGCCACAAACCGGGAGCCCAGGGAGTCCCTGTGGGAGCCATTGTCTGGAAGCGGGAGGAGTAGGCGTGGCCAGAGGCAGGGGCCAGGCTAGTGGGGCAGGACCAAGAAGGAAGAGCAGGGTGCAGAGGGCGGAGGCTGGGCTCAGCGAGGGCTGGACTCAAATGGTGGGGGCGAGGAATAGCAGGGCAAGACTCATATGGCGAGGCGGGGCTAGAGGGGCATGACTCAGATGGCGGAGGCGGGGCTAGAGGGACAGGACTCAGATGGCGGAGGCGGGGCTAGAGGGGCAGGACTCAGATGGGGGGCGGAACTAGAGGGGCAGGACTCAGATGGCAGGGCGGGGCTAGAGGGGCAGGTCTCAGATGTCGGGGCGGGACTACAGGGGCAGGACTCAGATGGCAGGGCGGGGCTAGAGAGGCAGGGCTCAGATGACGGGGCGGAACTAGAGAGGCAGGACTCAGATGGCGGGGCGGGACTAGAGGGGCAGGACTCAGATGGCGGGCGAGCCTCCCCGCACTCCCTTGTCCTAGGACGGTCTCTCGGTGCCCACTAGCGGAGAAGTGTGGCATCGGCCTTGCTGTGCTGTCTTCCTTGGGGTGCCCTGGAGGCAGGGTTGACGCTGTCCCCGTTTTATTGTTGGAAAGTGACTCCTACAGGGTCCAGGTGACTTGCTGGATCTTGCTAAGGTCGCCCAGTTGGTGGAGGGATAGAAGGAAATCGGAACTTTTGAACTTTTTTAGAGAGGTGTAGCTCCAAAGCCTTTGTGCTTTCTCATACTAAAAAAAAAGCAAATGAGAAAAAACAAAATAAGTACAAATCAGAAATGGAAGTGAAGAATAAAATAAAAAAGGAAAAGAAGTGTGTATGTGTGTGTGTGAGAGAGAGACAGAGACAGAGAGAGACAGAGAGAGAGAACAATCCAGTTAAATATGTTTCCTTTCTTTCTTTCTTTCTTCCCTTCCTTCCTTCCTTCCTTCCTTCTTTCTTTCTTTCTTTCTTTCTTTCTTTTTTTCTTTCTTTCTAATATATTAATTTCCTTTTTGTTTTTTTTTTGTTTTGTTTGAATCAAGGCCTCACTACAAACCCCTGGCTGACCTGGAATTCACTATGATAGACAGACTGGCCTTGAACTCGGAGATCTGCCAGCCTCCAGTGCTGGGATTAAAGGCATGCACCACCATGCCTGGCCTTTCAGGTTAGTATGTATGTGCTTCCTTCCAAAGCTCCCGTACTTTCAGAGCCAGAAAAGGGCTGTGACAATTTCCGGAGTGAGTGACAGACACGGCTGTTCAGCAGCTCCATGCACGCCCTCTTCCCATAAAAGATATTTACATACTGTACACACTTACATTTCCCTCCCGCCAGCAAAACCAACATTTCTTTCTTTCTTTCTTTTAAAAAGATTTATTTATTTATTTATTTATTTATTTATTATGTATACAACATTCTGCCTCCATGTATGCCCTCATGCCAGAAGAGGCACCAGATCTCATTACAGATGGTTGTGAGCCACCATGTGGTTGCTGGGAATTGAACTCAGGACCTCTGGAAGAGCAGTCAGTGCTCTTAACCACTGAGCCATCTCGCCAGCTCTCAAACCAACATTTCCAACATTCATTTGCTCATCCACTTCTTAGAGAGAAAGGTATGACAGTACTTGCAGCTCTCTGCTCGCCTGCTTCAGCCTGCTCTGCTGTGTAAGCTTCCATTCTGACAGCGCTTCTCTGGGTTCATTTACACACCCATCGGCCTCATCAGTTTTTATTCTAAAGTCTTTGTCACCTCAAGTCCTACACTTGGGTGTTTGAATCTCCCCCTTTCCTTTTGACTAAATTTCTTTAAACTGCTCAGAAGGGTTTCCCTTCTGTTTCATTCTTTACACCAAGGTTCCGTGTTGGAGATCAGCTTTGATAAAAATACCACTTACCAGGGTAGGGGCTCGGGGATTAGATATGTTAGTAAAGCGTACGAAGACGTGAGTAAAATAATAAAACAGAAACATAGGATAGTACTGGGAGGGAGTTCCAGTGAACACTGAAATTGCCTGCCTGCATTATAATTTTCCCTGTGCTTATATACACCAATATAAAAGGCGGGAATAAGGCAACAAAAGACTTCTTTAACAAGATGCAAAGGACAATTGGAACAGTTAATTGCTTCAACACTTAGAGACATCAAGACATCAGCATTCTGTTGTTTAGGCAGTGAACCCACCCTAGACCAAGTATCCTGAGTGTAGTGTAGCCATTCACTATGTCATTAGGTCAAACCTCCTGTTACAAAAGAAGTAGCAGAAGTATGCTTGCATATCCTGACCACCTATCAGGATGGAGTGGATTTACCTGTATGCGCCATCTTAATGTCAAAAGAACCAAGTAACCACTTCCTGGGTCAGGATGTGTAGCCCCGGTTATTGTCAACAATTCTGAGCAGCCTCAAATTCTCTCACCTTCAGACAAGTGGAAATAGGCTTACATTTTTGGACTTCCACGGTTTTGCAACCTATGGGACCCAACAGATGACGTCCTGAAATAAGGGTTTTCTCTGGGGCAGTGGTTCTCAACCTTCCTAATGCTGCAACCCTTTAATCCAGTTCCTCATGTTGTGCTGGCCCCCAACCATAAAATTATTTTCGTTGCTAGTTCATAAGTGTAATTTTGCTACTGTTATGAACCATAATGTAAATATCTGTGTTTTCTGATGGCCTTAGGTGACCCCTGTGGAAGGATCATTCAACCCTGAAGGGGTCACAACCCAGAGGTTGAGAAACACTGTCCTGGTGTGGGATGTCGTTCTGTATAGTGGTCGGGAAACAACAGCGCAGTCTCTGTCTACGCTGTCCTTCAGGGTTTTGAGAAACACAGTAAAGATTTCCAGGAAATACTGCTTTCCCTCCCTGCATGACCTAGGGAGGTTTAAGGGGTCTTCTGTAAGGTGTGGTCTCATTTATCCAAGGGCCGAAATGAGGATTCCTTAGGACCTGATTGACACCACTTTGATCACCTCTTAGATGTTTTGAAGACCAGAAGAATTTTCCACCCACGGTCTTGTCCTTTTGCACTAATAAGATAAAGGACGGGGGTAGACAGGAGATTAAAACTCATCTTGACTTTGGAGTTTAAGGATTAGACTGTTGGAACCAAGAGTGTCCACAAGATGGCGGACTTTCGCTGCGAACCGAGTCCTGGGAGCGGAGGATGCTCCTTCCCTTGGATCTCCCTAGAGAGGCGTGATGTAGATTTCCAGGGTGGATATGAACTTGGAGACAGCCCGAGGTGAAAAAATACAAATAGAATTTTGTACCAGAAGCTTTAACTGAGGCGCCGCGAGAACCTTTAACTGAGGCTTTAACCTTTAAGCTGAGGCGCAGCGAGGAACGAGCTAAGCTTTGCTGTGCTATTGGCAGGGCTTAAACCCGTTTGCTACCCCAGGAAAACCAGAAGAGATTGTAAAACGCGATTCCCCAAGCAAACAAAGATAATAGCTGTCGAACGCTGAGTCTTTATGCAAGACCGAGGTAGCTCTGGGCATCTTAACACCACCTCAGATTCTGCCTTCGTAAATCTAAACTACTCCCAGGAGACCTGAGCGTCTCCGGGGCCCCTCTCTTCACGGATGACACCATCACGATCATGTACACAGTTGCTCTTTTGGTTAGTGGTATAAGGGTGCCTTCGCAAATTACCATGAAAGCAAACAAAGGATTATCTCATACTTCCGGAGTCTGGAAGTCCAAACTGAAGGTGTCAGCGGGGCCACATTCCCGGGAAAGCACTTAGGGAAACCGGCTGCCTTGTTCTTTCCAGGTTTTGGAGGTTCCCTCTGGCCAGTTCTGTCTTGTAGACTCTGTCTTCACCTAGTCTTCTCTGTGTAGGCACCTTCTCTCTGCCTTCATTCTTTTTAAAGTGTGTGTGTGTGCTAAGGTGTGCTTGCTGGAGTTAGCTCTCCCCTTCCAGTATGCTGAGTTAAACTCAGGTCACATCAGGCTTGGCAGTAAGCACTTTTACTCACGAGTCATCTTGCTGTCCCTCTCCTCTCTGTCTTCTGGGTAGACCAATCATAGGACTCAAGGCCCACCATTCTTGAGAATCCAGACTGATCTCATTTCTAATTATCAAGTTAATCATATTTTCAATGATTCTTTTCTTTTTCTTTTCATTCTTCAAATAAGGTCATGTGCACAGACTTCTAGGGTTGAGGGTGGACATATCTTTGGGGAGCTACTGTCCAGCATGTTAACTGTAGAAACCTCTCAGTCACTCCCTTCTCCTTCCTCAGGCAACCCACCTGTGATTCTGGTAGACCTTTCTGCAGCGTCACCCCATCTTCACTGCTACACCCCCAAAAAGCTGCTTATGTGCCCTCCTAGGCCCCAGTGATCTCCAGGCTGGTTTCTTTCTTATCGTGGACCCAAATCCATATTCTGGCTATATGCAGACAGGGCTTTTAAAAAGATAGTTAAGTAAGTTTGCTAGATCGGGATCCTAATCTATAGGACTAGCGTTTTACGGGAAGAGGGTTCAATACAAATATCTACACATCTTTCTCTCCTCCTGAGAGTGCCCAGAGAAAGCCACAGGAGGGCCTGTGAGCAGAAGGCTGTGTACAAGTCAGGAGTAAAGTACTCTCCAGTCGTCAGCCTTGATGGCATTGAAAACTCCCAGCTTCCAGCAACACGCGACAATAACTGTGTGTTGTTTAAGCTGCCCCGCCCCATGTTGTACTTGTGAGGGTAGTCAAGCCAAAGGAGACCCATGTCTGTGCTTGCTCTCACCCACATTGCAACCAGTAATCTCTTGAAAGACCTGGATAAATCCAGATCCCCCTAACAGGAAAATAGAGCCAAAAATCTAGCAGGAAGAGAAGAATCAGAAATCTAAGGTTAACCAGTTCCAGGGTTCCAGGAACTAGCCGAAGATAAAGGTGGACTGTAATCTTGAGAGTACTCTTGAGAAACACGCTGTCTCTCGTGAGTTACTGGGGGGGTTCGCGTC